ATCTTTAGAAGTTCCTGTACTCCTCTCAATGGTTGTCTGAATCCCAAGAGAAGCTCTGATCCATAGTGCTTGGTTCCTCCCACTTGTCCTAACCAAACTCTTTTGCACACTGAACACAAGGGGTCTAGGTACTTTCTCTCCTCATCRCAGTCCTACTATAAAGCTCAAGGAACCACTTATGTTTGTCTGTGACTTTCATCTTTGGAGGAAGCAGAGGCTTTGGTGCAAACCTAGCAAGCTCAATTGGCTTTGCAAGATCTTTCTTCTTCAAGCAGGTCTTCTTCTTTGGTCACCCAACACAAGTCCCATTTAGCTCCTTCTTGTTGTTGTACAGATGTGGCTCCCTTAACTATGCACCAGTTGTACATTTTTGGCCCTTATTTTGCATGTAATGGCTGTCAAAAGTCCGGTGTTTTGAGTGGCTTRTTGTTAGTTTGCTCCTCTGCTTGTTGCTTGCTTTTTGCAGTAGCCTCAATATTTGGATGGGGTTGCCTCCCTCACAGGATGTATTGTTCTTGGCACTGTGTTGAAGTACGTGTCACTGTTCTTTCTGATCAACCAGACACAGGCACAGAACAAACAAATCAAGGGGGGATGTCTTGCCAAATTTTGAGTGTCCACAATTAGTCTCCTATTTGTGAGTTAAAGTAGCAGTTGAGCAAGCCAGTCAGTCACCAGTCAATCCATTGTGGGACTCATTTTCTATTAACCAACATAGTAGTTATTAATTGGTAAAAAGATAGGATGAAATCCAGGCACAGTGTTTTATCACTTTATAACTGTTTTAATCTTGARCTGACACTTTGAGCTGTATCTTGGTCTCCAGCAGTTGCTTAACATAGATAAGCATCCCTATTTGTTCCTAACAAAGAGAGGACTCTGGTTGTTGCACTTTGGGGGAGTTAGGGTGTCCTAGTAGTATTGATTGACATATGTGTATGATTATACCAAACATTACAAATGTACAATTTAATTGGCTTTTTGTATCACCAATGCTGTACAAAAATACCTTACATTAAGCTACTAAGGTTGCACCTCCAAAACAATCCTTGGAGGGAGGCTCCACCCCTCAGAGCAGCTAGGAGCATTCTTCTCCCTAGTCCGGAGAAGTTTTGGTTCTGGCCAAATAGTGCCTCTTCTAGTTCACAAAGTTCAATGTAAAATTAAGATTTTTTTACCAGGGGGGAACTATGTTTGGGTCTGAGACCTTCTTACTAGTACTAGTTCAAGATGCTATTCTTTGGCCTATGTAACTAGAAGATGACAGAGAGGTAGTCATGATATTCATATGATTTTTATGGCAACTCTCAATTCAGATTCTTGGTCTGGCCACAAGCATATTTCTTGGAAATTTTATCCTACTTTTTGTCAATCGTTCATTCTCTTGTAACAAGCAGATGGATGTCTCTTCTATGATTCTTCTTTTGCTGTGAGCAGTATGCTCCTCTCTTGTGCCAATTTCTGATGAATTTGAAGTTGCTCAGTTTTTTGCCAATCCTGAATAATTGTATTCTACGACACCTTTTATGATTTTCAACCAACCACAGAAGAGTGAGTAGTAGACACAAGCAATGACTACTATGAGGATCTGTAGTGCAGTTACATTGGGACAAAAATGTTTTCAAAAGTACAGCATGCGCACTAATGCAAGAAACACCAAGAGGAAGAATCAACAAGACTAACAACAGGCAATATTCTACTTGAATACTTTGCGAATCCAATCACACAATCACAATCACACCAATCACA